AAATAGTTTGTATTTGATGATAATTATTTTAATTTTTTGATATCAATTATTATTTTACTTTCAGAATAAGTTAATTGGTAATTATTTTTCAGTGTATTTATTATCTGTTGAAATCACGGAAAAATCAATTCTCATAGAAGAACGAACAAATCATGAAACAATATCCTAAAATTTTAAGATGATTAGGACCCAGGTATCGTCTGTCTATGGAAAGAATTCCCATTGCCATTCGTCTGCAGCAGTGGCGGTGACTATGGTTACGAGGTTTAACTATTTCAAGCAGGGATGTTGGGTCATTTAAGACAGATTTTGGTTAAGGGTCGGTGAGAAAAAGGCTCCCCTCTTTGAATCGGCTGTTTCTTGTTTCCATAGCAGTAGGCGGCCTTCTTTGAGGAGAAGGGAGTTCTTTCGATAGACAAACTGTAACCACCGCATAAAACCTACGGAAATGTCTTTTGAGTTTTTAAAATTTCTGCTTTACTTCACTATCATAAGCAAAATGCTTCACTTCACTATCATATTCACTATCTCTAACACAGGAAAAATGTTGATACTTAAAACATAGAAGTTGACATACACGAAATTATTTCAGTCCCATCTCTAATTAATTTTAATAAGAATGCAAATGATCATTAGACTAGACATTGTAATTATTTTGATACGAAATCTAAACTTATACTCAAACTTTCCAAGGTAGTAACAATTATGTAAAAAAAGAAAGAAAATCTGATTTAAAAAGATTTGAAGAAAGTCTAAAATTATTATTCGCTTAACTAATTTCTAACAATAGCACAAAGGGTAGTAAATTAATGATAGTTACAGTAATTCATAGATGTAATTTTTACAACAAAAACTCTTAACTGTTTTGACGAACATTGACTTGATAGTTATTATGTATCTCATTCAGTGGAGTCGGTGAAGCGCGACTGATGACGAACTATTAATTGACGATGCTAATAATAGAGATGAGGGTCAGTAGCGCCGGATATAAAAAATTTCTATTCAGAGTGAACTTGACGTGTATATTAGATAAATGTAACATCTCAAATGTTTTGGAGAGCAAATGAGTCTTTTCCCGGATGAATCATTTGAAATGGAGATGAATTTAAATCATTTTGGGAAGAACACGAAAGTAAGTTACAAGAATTTTAATCAGCTAGATGAGTACTGAAGGTCATGATCCTTTTTTTCGCTCTGAGAATCATTTTTTTAAATGTGAAATGTAGAAAAAAATGCATTTTGATTGTGTTGTAAGCGAAATAAAGGAAGTGCCGGGAAAAAGATAGAGAGGCATGTGATGTATAGTCATATAACTCGTACCAACTGAGTGCTTAAAACATTTTAGAATGAATAGTAATTTTCTCTTATTACTTTACTTACAAAAATTGGGCACCTAGGTCGCGCAGAAGGCCCATATCCCATACATCAGTGGTTACCAACTGGCAGCCTGTGAAGCCTTTTTTTGTGACCCGCGAACCAAAATATATTAGTTGTTATTTTTTTAGGACAGTTTTTGGAGAAAATCTATATGGGTTTTAAATACTTTTAAGTATTATATCTTAACAATTTGATATCTGTTGCACATTAATTGTTTAATATATAGGTGCACATTAAAGTTATTGTAGCCAGAATTATTTAATATGCAATTAAATATTTTTAAAAATCTACTTCTTATTTTAATTTGTGATTCAATACTTATGTTTTGTACTGCTTGATAAAAATCTCACAGTAATATTTAATGTTCCTTCAAACTCCTATATAAAATTTTGGTAAAATTGCGGCCCGCCATTTGACTGATGTTATTAATTGCGGCCCCCGGTCCCATATAAGTTGGAAACCCCTGCCATACATCATGAAATTTTACATAAGTTTAAAAAAAAAAAAAACTGTTTAAGTTTATTGTTTAAAAAAAAACTTGATCTCGATCATGCAAACTTTTCCCACAGCTTTTAAGTCTACTTATTGGAAAATATTGAATCTGTAGTTGCACTGAAACAAATTAAGGCTGTTTAAAAGCACTACTGATCTTATTAGAGGACCTCCACAGAATGTTAATATTTTTAAATTTATCAAAATGAAGAAAAGTAATTTAACATTGAAATTACAATTAGAAAAAATATGAACGTACGCTTTCTATGTAACAGAGAAAGGAAAACTGTATAGGTAAAACAAATTTGATAAACAATGGCACATATAGTTTAAGTATTGATATAATTTTAAATGCTAGGCTAGAAATTATAATTTGGGGATATTTTTAGGTTGTACGGTTTTTGTTGCATCATAGAATTTTTTCAAGGAATTTTAAGCAGCATCAATGAACTAAAATTTAAAAAAAAAACATGTAGTTAACCCTTTCATGGGCCATTTATTTCTAGTAAAGGTAAACTAAAGTATTTTTTGAATTAAAATTGTTTCAAGAATAGTAATTGATATAAGAAGGAAAAAACCCATTAAGTTTATTAAAAAGGCAATTTTTTGGTGGTAAAAATATTTAACACGACCATATATTACTTATTGATATTTTATTTTTCTTTATTTTTAAAATAAATTTTGTATATGCTACAAACTTCAAAAAGAATTATGTGTTTTATAACTTTCATACGTTTTTTTAAACTAACAAATGGTTACCAATTTTATTCAAACGCACTTCAAGAAAGCTGAAATTATTAACAAATGGAAACCTAAATTAAAAGTGGTAAAAAAGTNCTATTAGGATCTTATTGACTTTTATTTTTCGTTTTTTATAAAATAAATTTTGTAAATGCTACAAACTTCGAAAAGAACTATGTGTTTTATAACTTTCATACGTTTTTTTAAACTAGCAAATGGTTACCAATTTTATTCAAACGCACTTCAAGAAAGCTGAAACTATTAACAAATGGAAACCTAAATTAAAAGTGGTAAGAAAGTGGTGGGAAGTATACTTCCCACGGCCTTTGAAAGGACTAAAGGCTGTGATGATCAATATTTTTGTATTCATTGATAATGACTAAAGCTTAATAACAAGATAGTAGGATGAAAAAATTTATTGCACAATAATTTATCCAAAATTCAACACCAAGTTAAGAAAAGTAACGAAATCAAGGATAATGAGAGATAAAAATTGGTTAAACGCGTTGATTAATTTAATTACCAGAAGGTTATTATCTAATAAATAAAATTTGTCAGAGCTAGGGAGCCAAAAGTTGGAATGACAAAAAAGTCAGCCAAAATGATTTCATCACAGTCGGTATTTGTAATGAATAACCTATAAATTTAAATTTATATATTTAATTTATTAGAATTGCTCTGATTTAAGCTGACATAAATAATGAGAATTAAACAGTTTCAAATAAGAAAAAAAGATTGTCCGGCGCCAGGACAATCGTTAAAACTTACTGTCGTGAAAAAGGAGCACTTAAAATGTTTTCTGAATAAAACATTGAAACCCACATAATTTTTCTTTATTTGATTATGTGAATGGTTGTCGCAAGTCAGGGCAAAATACTGTTAACGCATTTCCGACAGTAAATCCGTATAATTAAAATCACACTACTGGTTTTCATTGTACTCAACTCATATGTTTTATGACCTTTCCGTAAAGAGATCATATTTTGGAACAGGATGACTAGACGTTAGGCGCCCATTGGGAAAAAGAAGGAATGAATTATGATTATGAACGTTTTTCATTTACTTAGTAAAATCTGGAGACTATTTTTTCTTCTTATTATTAAGATGTTTTGCTGAGATAGGTCGAGCACTTTACGGTAGAACAGTTGAACGAGGACCCTCGGTCCCTACGCAGGCTGATCAAAGTGGTCACTCCCAGCACACTGACCGAGCCAGTGATGCTTGACTTCGATGTTCTGCTGGGAACCGTGTTCTTACGATCAATCCACTGCAGGACGTTTTACTGAGATATATTTTATTTAAAGACTAAGTGATTACCGTGTGACGTGTGATTATTCAAAATAATGAAAGCAAAACTAAATTTTAAAGACGAAATAGACACATACTATACTACATTATTTAATAACAGTATGGCAGTTTAGGAACGTTAATAAAAAAAAATAGTGATAGTACATAAAAAAAAAACAAATTAAATTACTACTGTCACTGGGGCCTGATCTAGAGATCCAGAGGCCCTAGGCACAGAACTGTGAGGGTCCTTCTGGTTGTATCTTTAAACTAAATTTACATGCTTAATTACGAAATGTTTTTAAATTACTTTTGAAGTAGATTATAAAATATTAGCAAATTTAAGATTATATTTCAATTTTCGTAAACTTATTGCACTAATAGACAATTTTTAAGGAAATACACGAAAAATAATTATTGGCAACATTTAGGGGCCCCCCAACAATGTGGGGGCCCTAGACTTCATGATAAATCAGACAGTGACTGTCACAAAATAATCTTTTGCTGTCTTATGTCGAGTCAGATCTGACACTGTCATGAATGAAAAGGTCATAATTAAATTACTGTCACCAAAAAGTAAACTTACAGTTACACTTTACTAATTACGTAAGCGTTAGGGCGTAATCAAGCAGAATTTGACAAACATGGTGCAAAATTTGACGAACAACAACAAATCACTAGAATTAATTCATAATTAAATTATACCATTGTGCTCTCTTGGTTTCTGTCAAGCTTAATGCTTTTTTTGTTATAATGCACAAGGTGTTTTCTAATTATATATTTTTGTTCTTCAAACCAAAGAACTGTACATTGAAACTTTAACTAAACTACCACTGGACAAAATCTTTCCGAAAAGCGTAGAAACTTCGCAGACCTGTTTTTGCCCAGGGAAAAGTTCGGTTTACGTCGGAATTTGAATTTTTTTTCTTCGAAAAAGTGAAGATTAAATAATTTAAAATAAATTATGGTTATGGTATTACAAAATGAATTTTAAACTTTTTGTATCTGTTAAAGAAACTTTAGTTATAATCAGTTCTATTCTGTATGCAAATTTCATAAAATAAAAACCACCGTATATTAAAATACTGTTTCAAAATTCCTACCTTTGCTTCTTTTGCTAATTGCTTCATAAAGTAGATATTTAATTCCCCTTTACCTTCACTCAGACGAGCAGGGGACGGTGACGAACACGTAGAGGAAGAAGCAGATCGACTTTTTCGCATCGATCCGAAAAGTTGCGACATTTTTGAAGATCGAAAAGATCTATTGGAGAGCACCTCTAAAAATTCATGTAACTTTTATATCATCACACGAATAGTAATTATCGTTTTAATTCCAAGATGGTTCTCTGATTTCTGCGTACGATTACAAAATCACTCCCACAACAAACTTTTTTTAATGATTGGCATTTATTCACTAAGAAATATTGTTTAAGAATTGCTAGAATTAAAACTTCCAAACAAAAGTCGATATAACCATTTCGATTGCAGACGATTATTAAAACATTTTGCTGGGGGTATACTTTATGTAAACAATTTTAAATGTTCCTCATACATTCTCATTCATTTTGCATAGTTTTCTGCAGTGACATACATAAAGTTTCATTAATAACGGCACAATTGTAATTTCGATTGCAAACGATTATTTAAACTTTTTGCCTGTGGTATATTTTATGCAAACAATATGGAAAATTCTTCTTTTATCATTGTTTGCTTAACATAAAAGTTTTCAGCAACAGGAAATAAAATTTTAGCAAGGAGGAAGTTTGTAAATATAGGACGACCGGTTTGCAGACGATAATTCAAACTCTTTGCTTTCGTTAAATTTTATGCAAACGATTCTTTATATTCGTTTTATAGAAAGTTTTCATCAATAACAATAATTAAACTACACTCACGAAAGAAAGATTTTAAATATATAACGACACATTGTAAGCGCTTTCACAAAACACGTTGATTTGTTTTCACAAGAATTGCATCACTTTTGATATGCTTACACTCAACAGCAGACGATGTTTTGTACCTCCACGTTTTTCCAATTCCTTCAACAGTTTATCTTCTTTTTGAATTAAAAACACGCCGGTTTTTCTCTCCCAATTATCAGTTCTTTGACACGAGAGAAAAGCGTTTCACTTTTCACAACATACACAGCCGCAAATGAAAGACAGCTGATAGAATCCGGCGCGAAGCCATCTGCAACTGTTTCCAATGGCAACGCCAGTGGTGGTCGGTGTGTGACGTCATACCCACGGGAAACACCATCAGAAAAGATGGATAGTTTTAACTCGAACGCGGCAGAGTAGCTTGTGCGGGGGAAGATGGAATCAGTTTGATTCAATGAAGTGCGAAAGTATGGAATAATTCCTCACATATTTATTTATTTAAAATGTTTTATAATTCAGTCAACTCAAATTATGAAAAAGAATATATATATATTCNAAAAATATATATATATATATATATATATATATATATATATTGCATACAAGAAATTTAACAGAAACAATAACATTTAAATGGATTTTATTTTTGATACGTTAAAAATGTATAATAACTCACTTTTCTCTCATACATTTCAAAATTAGAATCCATTTGAAATCTGCCGTTTTTATTCTATGCTCTTTATCAACATGTAAAAGTCTCAATAGTATTATTAGTTCAGATTTCGAAAATTCTGAAAAGAAAAACAAATACCGGAAACTCTTTTCAAAGTTAAAATGGAAAAAAAGCGATGAATTTACTTCTTAACGAGAATCGATTTTTGGAGAAAAGGAAAACAGAATGCATGCTTGTGATTAGTTCTAAATAATGATAAAAATTTATAGGTATATGGGTGTTTCATGTAGTCATAAGGTATATGAGCAAAGTTTACTCTAAGATTTTTTAAAAGAATTCAGAAGTTTAATTCTCCAGCGTCCGTGATTGTTTTTCTTTCATTGTTGTTTTCATTCATCGTTTTTATCCATTGTTTTTTTCAAGAAGAAATTTCTAAAAAAAAATTTTTTTTGCCAATGAAATGTGCAATTATTATTATTTTATGCTCGAAGCGCTTTGTTAATACGTTAATTGCCGTTAATATGAAGAAAAAAAAACATTTAAAAAAATAATCGACTTCCCTGAAAAAATAAAATTTGCCTAGGGGTAACCAGATTCTGTGAATCAATAAGAAGAAATAACTGCGAAGTATTTTTTAACTGTGAACGTGACTTTTAATAATAACTTTCGAAAAAAAGTTGCATTTATTACGTAAATGTTACGCATTTATTTAGGTAAAAGTTATGTTTTTAAAAATTTATATATATGAGTTAAGATTTATGTTTGGCATCATCTAATCTCTTACAGAAACACTCCATTGCTTTCAATATAAATTATAAATTGAATAAATTTATGAACCTTAATATAATAGGTAAATATTTAAATAAAATAATAATAATAAAATAATAATAATGTCTTCATAAATCTAACAATATAACATACGAACAAACGAAAAAAAAAATAATAATAAGCGTGCTACTCAAAATGTAACCCACGAAATATATAAAAATCTTAAAAATGTTTCCTGTGTTTTTTTCTTCTTCCCTGTAATGATTTTTTTTGATTTGCTCATGAAAACTTATTTCTCAGGTATAAATTTGAATGAATTACTTACTAATACCCGTTACTTTAAATAATTGCGTATTACATCGGTTTTATGTTCAAATACCATTACAGATCCTTTTCGCTTCTCCCCCAATCAAAGTGGTTACAAAATGCATACTTTAACAAAGAGATTTTTGAACTAAGGTCCCGACACCATTTGGGTCGCAGGACCTTCAGAGGGGTCATCAAAAATTTAATCACTTTTAATATTTCTTTAACTTATTATTATAATTTTGCAATTACCAAATATTATATAAAATAAAAATACATAGAAATATATACATATAATAATATAAAAATAAATATAAGATTTTTATTATTTCATTATATTTACTAGCTTGTAACTTATTTAATATTTTCACAAGTTAATGACTTCAAATAGCAATAGTATATTACGGCACAGGTGAATCAGCTGACAGTTTCACGCATTCGTCAGATTTGGGCAATGCTTATGAGGTCTCACAAAATTTTTCTGGATATGAATGGGGCTCCCACATCGATAAAAATTCCTGCTTGAACATAGTATTCACAATATTTTTACCTAAATTGTGCCTAGCGTTTTTAAAAATTATGTTGTTTTCTTCAAAGCAGAAAACAATGGAAGAATGGGGATCAGATTGTTAAGATTAATTTTGCAGAAACAAGGTAGTTTATTTGGTCTATAGTCAACGTGGAGTGTTTTTTTTAAAGCTAAAGTGGTAGGTAAGGTAACAGTATGAAATATATATATTCTTCTGTATATATATCTGTATCTTTTGTTCTGTGTGTATATATATACATATATATTGTTGGACTATACCAGATGTCGAATAGCTCGGTTGGGGGGAGGAGGAAGTAATAGTTAAATAATTATAATATATTAATAATTTATTTACAAGAACTATATTTACAGACATTAAGTTGTTACATTATTTTACACATCAGGCTTACTCGGTGCGCACTCCTACGCTCTCTGTTACAAAATCATCTGTGTATCTCCACATAATGACTACTGCCATCTAGTGGCCAATCATTTTCTTTTCAATTTAAATAAAATTAAAGCTTAGTGTTAACAATATATATATACACCAAAGAGCCATTACATTATGACCACCCTGCCAATAACATGTAGGACCACCTTTAGCCCTCAAAACTGCTAGCACCCGCCGTGGCATTGATTCCACAAGGTGCTGATAGGTAGTCTGAGNCACATAAATATATATTTTATGAATATATTTTTATATATTACATATGAATATATATACATAAAATATATATATACATAAAATATCAAATGCATTAATATACAATTTTGAATCAGATATCAATTAAGAAAAAACCCTCAGATTTGTAAAATTGATCTAAATTAATGGGATGAAATGTTTTATCATAAGAATTCATACAATAGTTGAAAATCTTGGGCAATATAGTGATGCGTCACACTCTTATAAAAAAGGATGTTATTTGCACATCTAACTGCTCCATAATAGTGTTTCCAATTAAGCCCCTTGCAATTGCTCAGAATTATTTTTCATTCTATGTAACAGCTCTTTGCAAAGAAGCATTTTATTACCTACAGGAAGATCATTGAACTTATCATTAGAAATGTTTAAAAAAAATAAAAATAAAAAAGCGCTTTCCTGAATAATTTAAAAATGTGGCTTATTAATGCACTGCCGCAAGCTCTTCACCTGCACTACATTTAGTTTTTGAAATTGAGAAAAACGTTGATTCGGCATGAATTCTAAACAACTTCATTAAAATTAAATAATATCTTCTGCATTTGATTATTTTTTTTTAATATATTATATTGGGATATAAACATCATAGATGGTTTTATGATGGAAAAAAAAAACCCTATTCGTATTAGGAAGTTAAAAATAGCAGTGAAAATAAATTTAAAATTTTCACCTCATTATTGACATTTAAGCGGGGAAATCTATTTGCGGCGCATTAACTTTCCTTTCTCTTAAACGCCAAAAACGAAAGGAAAGAAAAAATAAAAACTGCAACCCAGATTAAAACTAATCTATTAAATAATAACCACTTGTCCACAACAGATATGTCAATTAATTTTATTAAAAGGTATGCGTTCGGCAAATTAACCCGCAGCAAACCTTTCACCTCTTTTTACAGACAACAACATGACCTGAATTAAGTTCACAAAATGTCGCCGCGGCTAAAAGAACATCCCAAAAGACGTCCCCAGGCTGTTAAATAATGGATAACGAAAGAGAAAGGGAAAAAGATCATAAATGAGTGATTTAACGAGATCCAGACCTCACTTGACCTTCAAGAAGAAAAGAAAATTACATTTGGATTGAATTTGAATACGGTAAGGTAAACAATCAAAAGCTGTTTTGTTAGTAAAACGCAATTATTATTATTTAAAAAAAAAAAAAACTTGTTTGAGATTGTGAGGTTAATAAATAAATAAACAGAAAGATATTTTTATATAATTCGAGATCGTCTTAAAGTTAATTGTTTTTTTTCTTCTGTGTTATTTTTTATAAATCGAATGAAAGTGTTAAATGAGTTTCCTTATATATATTTATATACGTCGCTTCCAGTTAAAACTGATCTCGACACAAGACTGTTGGAAGTTGTTTTTTTAATCTACTACAATAATAACTAAAAATGTAAGAATTGGTGGCTAGTAGAAAGTTGATCTCAATTAAAATATAATAACATTGGCAACTTTTTCCATCATAGTTCGTTTAGTTTACGATTAAAGGTGATTTGCGAATAATGTTTCCGGTTGAAAAGGAATAGTTTTAAATGTAAATCATAGTGGTAGTTGCGATTCAATAATTAAATTAAAAAAATTAAATAAGTTCCTACCTCTTCTTATATGTTCAGGCGTCTGAGGCTTGTGAATTTTTGAATCATTAGTATCATATGTCATAATCATTATGTAGTGGTGGAGATAATAAGTTTAAATGGATAAAAATTAATACATTAAAACATTAACTTAGCTATCACAAGAATAAATTTTACAAAAAGTTTGAAAAATTGGCAGTCCTGTAACATGTAAGTAGAAAATCAAGCAGCGAACGCGTTAAGCATGCAGAATTCTGATGAAACTTTTATCAGCTCATCAGAACAACGTTAATCGGCTGTCTGACATCTTATATGTCTAAAGAAATCATTTACTGTCCAGTAGTTGTCAGAATTCTTATATTTTAATTTATTCAAATTGCTATACCATACCTGAGACGCATATTTGCTCTGCTTTGTAAAAAAATATATCCTAGTAGTAGTGAAGTTTTAATTATTTTTAGTTTAATAAGTTTAATTATAAATTATTTTTCCACCACAACGTATCCAAAATTCAAAGCCTCATATGTAATACAATTTTGTACTCATAATTTTTGACAATGAAGTTTTCTCCAACCCTACCTTTTTTTCATTTTATGACTTCTATTATTTTTATATATATATATGTCTTTTCAGATCATGTCTTTTAGATTATGATAAATCGGATAGTGGTGTTTCGAGCCAAACACCGAGATTGCAACAATATCCAACTCAATCATGTCGTGGAAGCATAGAAGATAAAAGCGAGTAGCAAAGATCCTCTTTAACCTCAACTCGATCGAGTGGTGAGACTTCTGATGAGTTGTTGAGATTATACCTAATTCTACAAGTTTTACTTTTTAATTCTCTTCCAATTTATTAATATTTTCAAAGAAAGTGAAACAGTTGGCATCACTGCTAGACAGAAAACTGTCAG